GAAGATTCAAGACTGAATGTTGCTTTAAAACATCCACACCACTTGACAGTTCTGTTTCTGGTGAAAGTGTTTCTATTTCAGGTAGCTCTACCTCATTACTCACCTATTTGTGGGTTGCCAGTGTTACACACACAAAAAAGGGAATAGTTTGATGAAGAGGGTGTATAACTCTGGGATGGAAGTTAGGAGGAATAAAGGTCATCAGAAGAACAGTTTTGAAACACACAGAGAGAGAGAGAGAGAGAGGAGAGAGAGAGAGAGAGAGAGAGAGAGAAGAGAGAGAGAGAGACAGAGAGAGAGAGAGACAGACAGACTAGAGAGAGACAGACTAGAGAGAGACTAGTATAGTGTAAATGACCCTCTCTATGGAAAGAGGCGAATGTAGTCCCTGTTCACAAAAAGAAGAGCAGAGCAGAAATCAGCAACTACAGACCAGTGTTACTCCTGTCAATCACTGGTAAGATCCTTGAGACAATAATCTCAAGACAAATGACAGAGTTTTTTGACTACCACTCACTACTTTGTGATCATCAATATGGCTTCAGGAAAGGTTACTCTGCTGCTGATCTGTTGTTAAACCTCTCCACTAAGTGGCACCAGTCACTGGATGAATCCAAAGTCAGCTGTGTGGTAGCACTGGACATTGCTGGCGCTTTCGACCGGGTGTGGCACCAGGGCCTCTTAGCAAAACTTCAAGCACTGGGAACTGCAGGCTCTACGCTATGTCTCCTCAGTGACTACCTTCATGGTAGATCTCTAAGTGTAGTTCTCAATGGAACGGAATCAGCAAGACATCCTATTGGGGCAAGTGTTCCACAAGGAAGCGTGCTGGGTCCATTGTTATGGAATGTCTACTTCAACGACCTTCTTCATCTCATCCCAGAATCACATGCATATGCAGACGACTGTACACTGACATTCACTTATCCAAGAGAAGAAATGCCAGCTGCTCTAAGCTACATCAATCACCAGCTGAGAGCTATATCAGCTTGGGGAAATAGATGGCAAGTAACATTTGCACCTGAGAAAACGCAAATGATGATCGTCTCTAGGCACCATGATGGTAATGCTGGTGCAGTAGTAAGGATGAATGGGAGGATGTTGGCACCTGGAGAAGAAGTTGATATCCCTGGGGTGAAATTTGACTCCAAACTAACCATGAAGAACCATGTTGTAAATCTTGCAAACAAGGCAGCCAGGAAGCTTACAGCACTTCGCCGTATCTCCCATCTGCTTGACAGTAGGGGTTGCAAGATCCTGTACGAGGCACAAGTACGCCCGCACCTTGAGTATGCTCCACTTTCTTGGTTTGCCTGCCCCCCCTCTCATCTGCGACTGCTTGACAGAGTAGAGAACAGAGCAAGACGTCTCATCTCTCGCCTGGACCCATCCTGGATAGATCTGTCATTTCAGCAGAGCCTTCAACATAGGAGGGATGTGGGTGGCCTTACTGTTATGTACAAGGCCAATATTGTCAAAATACCACACTTGGATCCACTTCGAGGACAGCGTGAAACAAGCTTTTATGCCACAAGACGGGCAGAAAGCAGCAACTTCACTCTGGCTGTACCCTTCTCCAGAACATCACTCCATCTGAGATCATACATACCCAGGATGACTCGAGTATGGAACACATTCGTACAGGATAGTGATGTCAACGAGATAAAGTCAGTTGATCAAATGAAAATGCTGGCCCACAGATGGCTCCAACTTCATCCTGTTTCCTACTTGTATGTCTCATAACAATAAAAATGCTTTCAAATGAGCTGATGTAGGTAACAGCTCTTAGCTTGCCAATAAAGTTAGGAATCCTTAACCTGTAAATAGCTTGTCAATAAAGCTAAGAGAGAGAGAGACAGAGAGAGACAGAGAGAGACAGAGAGAGAGAGAGAGAGAGAGAGAGAGAGAGAGAGAGAGAGAGAGAGAGAGAGAGAGAGAGAAGAAGAGACAGAGACGAGACGAGACAGACAGACAGACAGAAGAGAGACAGAGAGACAGAGAGAGACAGAGACAGACAGAGAGACAGACAGAAGACAGACAGAGAGACAGACAGACAGAAGAGACAGAGAGAGAGAAAGAGACAGAGAGACAGACAGAGAGACAGAGACAGAGAGACAGGACAGAGAGACAGACAGAGAGAGAGGAGAGAGACAGAGAGAGAGAGAGACAGAGAGAGAGACAGACAGAGAGAGACAGAGAGAGAAGAGAGAGACAGAGAGAGAGAGAGAGGACAGAGAAGACAGAGAGAGACAGAAGAGAGACAGAGAGAGAAGAGAGAGAGACAGAGAGAGAGAGAGAGAGGACAGAGAGAGAGAAGACGAGAAGACAGAGAGAGACAGAGAGAAGACAGAGAGAGAGAGAGAGAGAGAGAAGAGACAGACAGAGAGAGAGAGAGACAGAAGAGAGAGAGACAGAGAGAGGAGAGAGACAGGAGAGAGAAGAGACAGAGAGACAGAGAGAGACAGAGAGAAGAGAGCAGAGAGAGAGAGACAGAGAGAGAGAGACAGAAAGGAGAGAGACAGAGAGAGACAGAGAGAGAGAGAAGAGAGAGAGAGAGAGAGAGAAGAGAGACGAGAGAAAAGAGAGAGAGAAGAGGAGAGAGAAGAGAGAGAGAGAGAGAGAGAGAGAGAGAGAGAGGAGAGAGAGAGAGAGGACAGAGAGAGAGAGAGAGACGAGAGAGAGAGAGAGAGACAGAGAGAGAGAGGAAGAGAGAGAGAGAGACAGAGAGAGAGACAGAGAGAGAGAGAGAGAGAGACAGAGAGACAGAGAGAGAGAGACAGAGAGAGGAGAGAGGACAGAGAGAGAGAGACAGAGAGAGAACAGAGAGGACGAGAGAACAAGAGAAGAGAGACAGAGGAAGAACAGAAAGAGAGACAGAGACAGAAAGAGAGACAGAGACAGAAAGAGAGACAAGAGAGGCAAAGAGAGACAGAGAAGAGAGACAGAGAGAGAGACAGAGAGAGAGACAGAGAGAGAGACAGAGAGAGAGACAGAGAGACAGAAAGAGAGAGGAGAGAGAAAAGAGAGAGAGAGAGAAAGAGAGAGATAGAGGGGGGTTAAAGGAAGACAGTTGTGATCATCCAGCTTGTGTGAGTGTGGTAGATAAGACTGAATAGAGAAAAGTGGTTTTTAATTTATGCGGTGTTGGAGTGTGAACATACCTAGAGAGGGTTTTGGGAGTCAACATCCCTGCAGCCCAGTCTGTGACCAGGTCTTGCAATGGATCAGGGCCTGATCAACCTGGCTGTCACTGCTGGCAGCATGTAGACTGACATAAAAACCACAGCCTGGTTGGTCAGGTACTGACTTTAGGTGCCTGTCCAGTGCCTTCTTGAAGACAGCCAGGGGTCTATTGGTAATCATCCCTTATGTATGCTGGGAGGCAGTTGAACAGTCTTGGGCCCATGACACTTAGTGTGTTGTCTCTTAATGTACTTGTGGTACCCCTGCTTTTCACTGGGGATGTTGCGTCTCCTGCCGAGTCTTTTGCTTTCATAGGGATTGATTTTCATGTGCAGATTTGGTACTAATCCCTCTAGGATTTTCCAGATGTATAATATCATGTATCTTTCCTGCATGCATTCCAGGGAATACAAATCAAGGAATTTCAACCATTCCCAGTAATTCAGGCGTTTTATCGTACTTATGTGTGTCGTGAAGGCGTTGTACATTCTCCAGGTCAGCAATTTCACCTGCCTTGAAAGGCACCATTAGTGTACAGCAATATTCCAGCCTAGAGAGAATAAGCGATTTGAAGAGAATCATCATGGGCTTGGCATCCCTAGTTTTGTAGGTTCTCATTATCCATCCCATCATTTTTCAAGATGTGGTAGATACATAGTTGTGATCTTTGAAAGTGAGATCCTCTGATATTATTACTCCCAGGTCTTTCACATTAGTTTTTCTCTCTATTGTGTGGTTGGAATTTGTTTTATACTCCGATACAGCTTTAATTTCCTTGACTTTTCCATATCAGAGTAACTGAAATTTCTCTTTCCTGAACAAGGAAACTTTTATGAAGAGATTGAAAGAAAGTAGTTACCTAGAGGTGGGATGAGCAGTGCCAACACTCTGAAGGAGTGATGGAGACACTGCAACTGGGCAGGATGGGGAGTGGGGTAAACTGATTATGATTAAATAAATTATGGTGAATATATTTCCTTCTTTTTGGGTCACCCAGCCTTGATGGAAGCTTGCCATTAAGTTAAAAAAAAAATGGATGCAGCAAGTGTTCAAATATATTTTTGTGCACTATTAAAGTTTATTAGAAGACTATAAAGTTTTCTTTATTTCTGTAAAAAATTCACAGCAGTAGAGTCAGTATCCATATCTGCTAGTGTCCTGGTATATAATAATAGTTATAAACAAGTACAGTCACTAGTTTGTCATTTAATAGAACTTTATTCATTGCCTTTTCAAAATATTAAGGGAATTTTAGTGTCTTGTTTGCTTACATTCTAAATATAACATAGTATATTTTGTACTAGTGTCCCAGGTTTGTTTGCTTACATTCTAAATATAACATAGTATATTTTGTACTAGTGTCCCAGGTTTGTTTGCTTACATTCTAAATATAACATAGTATATTTTGTACTAGTGTCCCAGGTTTGTTTGCTTCTTCTAAATATAATGTATATTTGTATAGTGTCCCAGGTTTGTTTGCTACATTCTAAATATAAAGTAGTATATTTTGTACTAGTGTCCCAGGTTTGTTTGCTTACATTCTAAATATAACGTAGTATATTTTGTACTAGTGTCCCAGGTTTGTTTGCTTACATTCTAAATATAACGTAGTATATTTTGTACTAGTGTCCCAGGTTTGTTTGCTTACATTCTAAATATAACGTAGTATATTTTGTACTAGTGTCCCAGGTTTGTTTGCTTACATTCTAAATATAACGTAGTATATTTTGTACTAGTGTCCCAGGTTTGTTTGCTTACATTCTAAATATAACATAGTATATTTTGTACTAGTGTCCCAGGTGTCCGGGTAAACTTACTTGAGAAAATATATTTGCTGTTGGGGTAACTTTATCATCAATAATGGAATAGAAGATTGCCAAGAGACGGTCCAAAGGAAAAGGTTTTGGTCCAACCAACTGACTGCTGGATCTCTCTTTAGCCTGAAAAAAAACAATATGGTCAACAGTTAAATCACATATGATAAAACAATTCTCGGTGAAGAACTAAAATAAAAATTCCAGGAAAAAAAAAAATACATTATATTACAGTCAAGAAAGTTAGCATCAACATTAAATATTCATTTGTGAATTCTGTAACAAAATCAATAGAATAAAAATTAATTTTGAAACATAAATTGAAATTTGTGAGGTGTGCAAGTACTATACTGCAAGTTGATTAAGGGGGGAGGGGACAAAACTTGCTAGAAGAGTATCTATAAATGGAGCTGCATGTCAGCTTTTTTGCCATGGCCACATTCCCCCCTACCTGATGCCCAGGACAAACACTGTAAGTGTTGGTACGAATAAACATTTACAAATTTATATTGCACAGTATACAATAAAATATTAAAAAACTAATAATAAATGCTAAACAATTTTAAATACAGTCAATCACCACTATTCCAAATGCACAAGAAATTTGTTAAGGTGAAATACCCTTATACAACAAAGTAAGCAGCATTTTTCCAAAGTAGAAGTATTCAGGTTTGGTCCAAGAAAAGCTTGGAAATATATAGGGAGCAACCTTAGATCAAGAGCCAGTTCACCAATGAATGGGTTGATTGTAATGTTGTAGGATGAAGGAGTTACAAAACAATTGATCAGCACTTGCAAATTACCCTCAGTTCATTTTTAAACAGACTTAACCAGGATCAACCATGAAGCTGGTAACATAGAGAATACTCTTAAATGAGACTACACAAAAGTGATCTATATTAGCCATAAAATACATGATGTGGAGCTCATTTCTATTACCTTGATCATGGCTTGTGTTTTGCGCTGCTTTCCATGGTGTTTCATGAAAAATCTGCGGTCAGTACGTGCTGGATTATAAGAAGCTAGGTATGCAGCTATCAAAAGGAATTTTGTGTAGTAGGGAAGTTCCATCTGTTTGAAAATAAGAAACTGATGCATAAATATTAATGTTCATTTTTTGGCTTCACAGAAAAATGGAGGAGTGGAAGTCTGCAAGGTAGCATGACAGGAATGCCACAGCTCTATATTAATTCTGATACTTGGTCTTGCAAACTAAGTTTGTGTTACTGTAGTAGCAAGAAGAAATAAAGTTTTTATCACACTGACCATCTCCCACCAAGGTATGGTGACCCTAGAAAGCACATTTGCCATCATCTGTTCAACAGCTGTCTTGCCAGGAGTGCAGACAACACAATTAAAATGATCCACTGAACTGCTAAATCCCACTCCCTCAGACTGCAGGAACATTATTTCTCATCTCCATTACTAAGCCCAACTAGTTGGTTTTCCTGACACCCTTCATAAAGGTAAGGCTATAGTCAAATTTCCTCTCCACATACTTTATTCTAAAAAATTTCACACAAGCCTGTTCGATTCACTTGGGATGACCTCTATCCCTTCTTCCTAATATAGTAGTCCCCTGGCATCTGCAGCGATATGTTCCAAGGCCTACCATGGATACCTAAAACTGTGGACAGTAGCAAATCCACAGTCTTTTTCGTTTACATACATACTTATGATAAAGTTTAAGTGATAAATTACACATAATAAGTGGAGAATTAGCACTTTTCTTAGACTTATGAAGAACTGCCACCATCACTACTTTGGTGTCATTATTAATCCTTTGAGTATTGAGACCCCTGCTCGCAAACTTGCTTATAGTGTCAGAGAATTTAAAAAAAAAAAAAAATCTTGTGAAATGATAGAGAATCTTTTTCCGAAGGTAATGACACCAAAAGTTCGAAATTTGATAGAACACTTATGGAATTATGCTCCGGTGAAGACAGCGGTCTCAGTGATACTTACACATCGGTGATTTCACCAACTTTGAGCCCTATTTTGGGCCAATTCATTTGTTCCACTCGACCAAACTCATAGTTATTTCACTAGGACTTCTTTTATTCTATTGACTGAGTAGAAGAAACCACCCATTTACCTATTTTAACTATATAAAAAAGTGATCAGATATTACTAATTTGGCCAATTTCACACAAAATTCAATGAAGGCTAATTTCAAAATAGGATCAAGAATAAACAATGTAGACATTCCTGGCACTATATAAACAATTCCTCTGTTCCTCAGTCATGTCTCCAGTCCCTCTTATATTACGCTTGCTTTTCATTTTTTATTTTTATTCGCACAAAAAAATAGAAGATTTACTGTTATGCAGATTACTGCATTATTGTAATAATTTTATAAATAATGTCAGTGCATTCCTAAATGCATATCAGACTAGCCATTTGGAGGCGTATTGGACATTTGTGTACTCTGGAATATAGGCAAAAATCAAACATTTCCACTACTTTGAGCTCAATTTCAAGCTACACATTTTCAGTCCTGAAACTAATCAGAATCATCTCTATTTCTGTAATATATCTTCAATTCTATCAAATGAGACCAAGAAACTGAGAATGCAACCGTAAAAAACATACAAAAATACACCACAAATTTGCTGTTTTAACCCCTTTAATTGTCCACACATAGATCTACGTTATTACTGCTAGCACTTCAAGTGTAGATCAACTTTTTTTTTTTTTTTTTTTTTTATCACACTGGCCGATTCCCACCAAGGCAGGGTGGCCCAAAAAAGAAAAACTTTCACCATCATTCACTCCATCACTGTCTTGCCAGAAGGGTGCTTTACACTACAGTTTTTAAACTGCAACATTAACACCCCTCCTTCAGAGTGCAGGCACTGTACTTCCCATCTCCAGGACTCAAGTCCGGCCTGCCGGTTTCCCTGAACCCCTTCATAAATGTTACTTTGCTCACACTCCAACAGCACGTCAAGTATTAAAAACCATTTGTCTCCATTCACTCCTATCAAACACGCTCACGCATGCCTGCTGGAAGTCCAAGCCCCTCGCACACAAAACCTCCTTTACCCCCTCCCTCCAACCTTTCCTAGGCCGCCCCCTACCCCGCCTTCCTTCCACAACAGACTGATACACTCTTGAAGTTATTCTGTTTCGCTCCATTCTCTCCACATGTCCGAACCACCTCAACAACCCTTCCTCAGCCCTCTGGACAACAGTTTTGGTAATCCCGCACCTCCTCCTAACTTCCAAACTACGAATTCTCTGCATTATATTCACACCACACATTGCCCTCAGACATGACATCTCCACTGCCTCCAGCCTTCTCCTCGCTGCAACATTCATCACCCATGCTTCACACCCATATAAGAGCGTTGGTAAAACTATACTCTCATACATTCCCCTCTTTGCCTCCAAGGACAAAGTTCTTTGTCTCCACAGACTCCTAAGTGCACCACTCACCCTTTTCCCCTCATCAATTCTATGATTCACCTCATCTTTCATACACCCATCCGCTGACACGTCCACTCCCAAATATCTGAATACATTCACCTCCTCCATACTCTCTCCCTCCAATCTGATATCCAATCTTTCATCACCTAATCTTTTTGTTATCCTCATAACCTTACTCTTTCCTGTATTCACTTTCAATTTTCTTCTTTTGCACACCCTACCAAATTCATCCACCAATCTCTGCAACTTCTCTTCAGAATCTCCCAAGAGCACAGTGTCATCAGCAAAGAGCAACTGTGACAACTCCCACTTTGTGTGTGATTCTTTATCTTTTAACTCCACGCCTTTGCCAAGACCCTCGCATTTACTTCTCTTACAACCCCATCTATAAATATATTAAACAACCACGGTGACATCACACATCCTTGTCTAAGGCCTACTTTTACTGGGAAATAATTTCCCTCTTTCCTACATACTCTAACTTGAGCCTCACTATCCTCGTAAAAACTCTTCACTGCTTTCAGTAACCTACCTCCTACACCATACACCTGCAACATCTGCCACATTGCCCCCCATCCACCCTGTCATACGCCTTTTCCAAATCCATAAATGCCACAAAGACCTCTTTAGCCTTATCTAAATACTGTTCACTTATATGTTTCACTGTAAACACCTGGTCCACACACCCTCTACCTTTCCTAAACCCTCCTTGTTCATCTGCTATCCTATTCTCCGTCTTACTCTTAATTCTTTCAATAATAACTCTACCATACGCTTTACCAGGTATACTTAACAGACTTATCCCCCTATAATTTTTGCACTCTCTTTTATCCCTTTGCCTTTATACAAAGGAACTATGCATGCTCTCTGCCAATCCCTAGGTACCTTACCCTCTTCCATACATTTATTAAATAATTGCACCAACCACTCCAAAACTATATCCCCACCTGCTTTTAACATTTCTATCTTTATCCCATCAATCCCGGCTGCCTTACCCCTTTTCATTTTACCTACTGCCTCACGAACTTCCCCCACACTCACAACTGGCTCTTCCTCACTCCTACAAGATATTGTTCCTCCTTGCCCTATACACGAAATCACAGCTTCCCTATCTTCATCAACATTTAACAATTCCTCATAATATTCCCTCCATCTTCCCAATACCTCTAACTCTCCATTTAATAACTCTCCTCTCCTATTTTTAACTGACAAATCCATTTGTTCTCTAGGCTTTCTTAACTTGTTAATCTCACTCCAAAACTTTTTCTTATTTTCAACAAAATTTGTTGATAACATCTCACCCACTCTCTCATTTGCTCTCTTTTTACATTGCTTCACCACTCTCTTAACCTCTCTCTTTTTCTCCATATACTCTTCCCTCCTTGCATCACTTCTACTTTGTAAAAACTTCTCATATGCTAACTTTTTCTCCCTTACTACTCTCTTCACATCATCATTCCACCAATCGCTCCTCTTCCCTCCCGCACCCACTTTCCTGTAACCACAAACTTCTGCTGAACACTCTAACACTACATTTTTAAACCTACCCCATACCTCTTCGACCCCATTGCCTATGCTCTCATTAGCCCATCTATTTTTCCTGTCTTCAAATTTGGAGCGATAGGTCTGAGCAGCCTAGACATGAGAGAATGGGGTCTGCTCACTCAGTGTGCACCATATAAAAAAATCGAGGACCCCATGGTACCGCATGGTAGCACCAGTTAGTTTCAGCTCAATCTTGGGTCAACATGGCAAATCCGTGTGATTCACTCACACCTCGTGGTATTAACACTCTCTTCAAGGAAAGTGATATAGAACCTGAGTTTAGTGGATTTGAGACAATGTGGCCACTAATGATCCAGGAATTAGTGAAAATATTGACAATAACCCAAATGACCTTCAGCCCACCACCTCTGGGGTAGCCAGTGTGGCCACACCAGACCCTCGGCCAAGCATCTCTGGGGTAGCCAGTGTTACTACTCAGAGACACCTATGCAAGGAGAAATTATCATTTTCTTGCAGTTGTGGTGATGATGACATTGAAAGTGACATAAGTGACGGTGAGATTGATTTTATGCCCTTATGAGGATTCATCGAGTGACAGTGATAGACATTATTCCCCAGTGAAGCATACCTTTAGATGTCATCGCCTATGTTCAAGTAGTGTGCCATATGCAGTCCCCAAGGGTTGTGGGAGGACACAATCAAAAACCTCAGCCACTGATAGTGATACTGATCATGAAGGAGAATATGCAGGGATGGAGGAAGAGGTGGTGGTGGTGGTGAGAGGCATGGTGCCTGGGCTGCATTGTGCAGTGAGAGGGCAGACAAAGGACAGCCCGGCACCCCCTCAACAATGTGCTTCCTCCACTCCTGTCCCTTCTCCTGCTTCCCCATGCCCCATGCCAATGACATCATGACAGTGACATGGCATAACAAACGGGACGTGATGTTGCTGTCAACCATCTACAGAAAAGAGATGGCACAAAGTGAACAAGGACATCAATGAATACATTGTAAAGTCAGCTGCTGTCGTCGATTATACGAACAATATGCGACTAGTTGACAAGTGTGACATGATAATACGGTTCTTTGACTATGTGCGTAGGAGTTGCAAGTAGTACAAGAAAGTGTTTTTCCAC